CCTAGCTCCCTTTCTCAGGGGTCCCTTTTTTGCCGCCCTCCTGCGCCTCTCCCCGGTCCACAGGAGGTCCATCCGCTAGTCTTCTGCGTGTACGTAATGAAAGTCATTCGACCGTCCACTACTCTCTATATCACCGGTGTCAAATGACTCCTGCATTATTAAAGCCACACCCGAGCATTCTTGTACAACTTAACACAAAGAGGTCTGTAAAACATGTACTGGCATAACGATTCGGTAGTTCATAGATTCTACTAAAGGAATGCCTGAAACTGCTCAACCTTTAAATGGCTTCGAGAATTACTTTTTGTCTCAAAATGAGGGGATGATGGCAAATAAGGCAGCGACTGGCGCCAAGCCCTGGCGATTGCCTGTAAGTCGAAAATGGAAGCACCAGTGGGCATCTCCGGCTATTACCCTGCTATTGGAAATACGTGATTGTTTGTTTACCTGTTCCACTAAAAAGCAATTAGATAATTGCTTTAAATTGCTGGATGAACAGTCAGAGTATATAAGTATTTACCCGTGAGATACCAAAAGATAATTGGCTCCCTTTCTCAAACGTCCGAACAAATTTAACTCAGAACGCTACATAACAAGTGGTACCGAAAGCCAACTAATTAGGAGTATTTCTGATTCATAATCTTTCTTCTCATCCCTTCACATACGGAAAGGTGTTAGTAAAAAACATCTTTTGAACAGTCGCCAATGTTTGTACCAGAGATGAGCAGCCCAGTAGAGTCTTTGAAAGTGTCTTGGAAATTAGTCATTCTAATGAATACGAATATGTGACCCCTCGGCTTAAGTCTAGAGGCAACAAGAAGCTTTTGAACGAAAATTCGAATGAAGGAAGTATTCCGTATATCAATTTTGCTCAGTTCTTTTCAAATGAGATAGAGCTCATATATGTTTGGTTGGAAAAGAGCAGGTTGATAACCATCGGTAGCTATCACTGAAATACCACCAATTAATCTAGACCGCCAACTAGTTTGCAACACTTATATGACCGTCTCTGTACAAATGAAGCTTGCAAAATATGTCCTTACGGTAGAGACGGTGATTGCATTGGCGTAGAACAGTTTACCTAATCTCTTGCAAGCCGATAAATATATTGACGAGACGGGTAGGGCAGCTCCTATGCACGCAGAAACACCTAGCTGACAAGCGTCATAATAGACGAAACATCACGCTAGGAAAACACATAATACCCAGAAAACACGACGGAGTAGATTTTGATGTCGAAGTCGCCATCCTTGCGCAGGAACGTAGAACATCAACGAGTAAGATTTTGAAAGCGTTTGGATTTGTACGATCAGTCCAACTTTAAACCGCTGAGAAAAATGCCTCTTAATCACTCGTGATATGAGTAGTATATAGGACTGTTGTTTTGATGAGTTGAGTTCATTACGAGCCTAGTTTTTTTCTCCTGATCTCACTTGAATCATTCAATGATGCACATACGAACTGCCGAAAACGTCAGCTGTTGAATGAAGAATAATGCAACATCTCGTGTTTAGCTGAAGAAGAAAATTAGGAATTTTTGAAAACAGCAGTAGGCCGTTCACTAAAAATGTTGATACATATCAGTTTTTGTCCTGATCTAAAACTTTTCTCCATCCCTATTATCAGTAGGAGAAGACTAGTGGAAGGCTGTGATGAGACGGTGAGACTGCAGAAATGTGTAATTGAGCCTCTGACATATCAACTACGAAAGGCTCATACATTCTCTCAAACTATACTGAATATTTGGTAGTGAGGTTCTGAAAGAGCAGTCAACTGAACGGTAAAGTCATCTATAATTGCCGGTCCAAATTGGTGCAGATTAATCTAATTGGATTTATTAATTTCAAAATCTATTAGGTAGAATAGTTTTGGAACTTGAACTTTGAGACATATAAAAGCCCAGCCCTAAGAGATCTCTGCGCAAGATATTCTAAAAGACTCACAAGCTGGATATAACCCTGTTGCGTAAGGCAACCATTATCGGCTTGGGCATGCGCCTCGAACGGCGTTTTAGTAAATGATCGGATATATGATACAGCAAACTTCATAATGTTCCTTTCACTAAAAATTACGCAGTTTGTTCCATTCGTAATCTCCACTTTCAAAGGAAAAAACCAAAGTATTTATGTAAAGGCTATATTTATAAGCTTTATCGAACATTTCTACAACATTTTTATTTGTACTTATTCACCACTGTGTCACATTTATATTCTATTTCTTCCAGTTTGTCGTATAAATTATTGCCATACGAGTACCACAAAATTCATCAACTGACTGAAAATCAGAAAAAAAAATACGTCAAAAAATAGTGCTGACTGCATTGCATGCAGACCCACTTCATCGATAATTCTGAATATTTTTTAAGTATTAGTACAGTTCAGATTTATAAGTGAATTGAGCCGGTGAGCAAAAACCACGCCTCAGACTAGAGTCGATCCCGCGTTTCGTCCAATCCCGGTAACGCATGCTCTACTACTACAACCACCGAGGCACATTTTCACCATCACTGACTCTTTAAACATCTCTAGAGCTATCAGCCACCAACGTGTGAATGAGTGATGGCGCACAACAGTGCCTTGGTGGTGTAGTGGTAGCGCGTATGCGTGCCGGATAGGACAAAACGCGGGTTCGATTCCCAGCTGAGGCCGTGTTTTTGCTAACCACTCAGTTCTCGCAGGGATATATGAGTGGTCGTAACACTGCGAAAAATGCAGTAAAATACTATAAATTACGAGCAGCAGTTCAGATTCCTAATTCTCAAATCATTGTGCAATTTTGTTCAAATTCCCTATTTATAGCTGTGGTATGCGAAGAAGAGATCTATGGTATAGCGGTCCTTCCCGTCATCTCTACTCTGTTTGAGCCCTTTAGTAAAAAACGCATTTTTTTTACTAAACGTAAAACTTCTTGACAATTACTCGATAGCTAAGTGGATTTGAAAGATGTACTTTAAATCCTTCAGCAGCCTCTTTTATTCGCTGGAGGAGTCGAAAAACATTTTGTTTCCACACTCAAGCATTTTGTTCCTCGGATAAATGTTTTTTCATAAACACACGTGACAGTCATTAGATTATGTGAATCAAAGCAATTCAAACGGTGTATTTGGTTTTCGAGGACCTTCTCGAAGTGCTGTAACAATGAAGAGAAGATTAGATTTTGAAAATTTGGATTACCTTTAGAAAAACGAGATTTTTGATTGTCTAAGAGTTATGATAGCTGCTCGATAGCTGAAATCTCGAAAATTTTGATTCATTTATTAAAATGGCTTCCTTAATGCGCTGTAGCAATAAAAAATGGAAATGTCTTTTCCGCTCAAAGCATTTCTTACCAAAGAAAGTTTTTTCGGTGGACTTTCAATAATTCTGCAAAAGCGCAAATCTCAACGATTTCCGAAACACCTCTCTTTTGGAAAGAGACTCACATATTGCACTGCGAGAATCCAAAAGAAGATGTACGTTTTGCAGTCAGTTGATATGTTGCTAAAAGCGCGATGACTCGTGGCCAATGCGGCAAAATTCCACCCTTTGTTGTTGTGCAAAATGAATCTTTATCTTTGACTGTCACACCTCTCTGAGGAGTCCTCTCCAAAAATAAGCCATGTTTTTGAAACTGGCCAAGATGCACACTATCAAACGGTTATTAATTTATTTTATAGAAAAAGATTTTGTAAAGCGAGGTATGTGGAACAATGTATTTCGAACATTTATTTCGACTATTACAGCGCAAAAAAACAAACCATATTAAGAAACAAAATACACCTTTCAATCTTGATTTCAGCTATCGAATGAATAACTAATAATCTATAGTGAAATAAGTCGCGTTCCGAGAAAAAACGGAAAGGCTCTTCTTGAAATACGGTTAAATGTGGCAGAAGTTTTTTTCCAAAAAGTAGGGATTTTTCACGAGAGTTCAGTCTCATCCTTTTTATAAATACAGATATTACATAAGCGTTTTGACGGATAATTTGCGTTATCTTAGCACAGGAATCTGTAAAGAATGGAAACTATCTATATAATCTCAAAAAATTATTTCAATTAGAAAAGATTGTGTTGCGATTGCAAAATGTCATTTATAACTTTCATCAAAACGTACTGCTGGATATATTCCAAAGCCAACAACCTTATTATAAGAGTCAGAATTTTTCAAGCTATCTATGGACTAAAAAACATCAAGAAGATATTAGAAAATGCCTAACAACAGCTGGGAATATAATTCTTTTCGTAAGTACATGGTTCTTTCTTTTGAAAAATAGAAGATTTTGGGACAGCATTCTACGTTAATCCTATCAATATCAGTCATGAAGGTAGTCTTATCAGTAATATTTCATCCCTTTTGTTGGCATCTTTGTCTGCAAGCATTAATGCATTTGAATTTGTATTGGACGCACGCGACACCACTCTTCGTAGATGCTGTACCTGAAACGGCGCGCCAAGTTGAGGGTCATATTGACCACTCATCGTCCGCGAAGGGACTGAATAACTGAAAAAGTGACCGCAAGGATTGTGTACACATATATACGGCCAATTTTCAAAGTAGCCTACACCTATAGATTCGCACACAACAGACACAATGACGTCCATATCAATCAGTCCTCGGGAGCAGGAAGTTTGCTAGTCCATTGGCACTTAGTTGTAAAGATGGCTATAAATTGTCTTTTAACTAAATTTTGTCGTGATTCTACAGAGAACTACTACTCCGTTGAGGAAAAAAAAAATGGCACTGCACGTGGCTCTTTTAAGAAGACCATATAAATTAAGTTTTTAATGAGGACTGTACGCACATACGCGGTTTTCGGTAGGATGATTGCTATCTGATTTCTTTCGTACTAGACGAAATTCACTGATTAGGTATAGTTTTTTCGGAGGCGCATAGAAAAGTCTGAAACTATTTTATTTTTGTCAACTAGCATATCAATCAAGAACACAGAACTGTTACAGACGGAAGTGTTACAGCATGCAAATGTTTCATCAGCTTTATTCGTCGTTCACAAAAAACGTCATCGCATAAATGATAGTTCTACAGCTCCGAGATATGCTTACGATTTCTTATCGGCGTAGCAGACGAAAAAGAAATTATTACTTCTGTGTGGGTGAAACATTTTCGCTACAGATTCACTGCGGACTCTCACTACTGAAAGTGCCTCAACTGGGGTAGCAAACTTTTCTACAGCCTGTTACTAAAATATTTTTGCGAGATCCCGCCTCTATGCCGCCGGACTACACTTTGAACGAAAATGATCTATTGACTAGCAAAATAGTCAGAGCTATGTTGGATTTAGTTTTGCACACACTGTTCTAGTTAAATTGAGTAGTTAATAATGAGAAAAATTTGCTTCGAAGCGTTGGGGTAGGAAATAAATTCGGATTACCTCAAAAAAATACGACACTGAAAGAAATCAGCTAGTCATAATAATATTAATGTCAGCAATTCACCATATCAATTTTGCAACGTTTGAGAGGGCGACTAAAGAATATCTCTCTCATTGTCACCATAGTCATGTTTCTCAGGAACGTTCTTCTGCCTCTCTCATCTCGATGTGATAGTATCTCCTATAAACAGAAGTATCTTGGCGCTCTAACACAAACTTGATACTTGAATATAGTTGCTTTTCCCATACTTATTACTGAAGTTTGGCATGAGTTACTGAAAGCGTTATAGCTCGAATGTGATATTCTCTTTTCAAGTTTGACCCATTCAAAACCAAAAGTTGATTTTCGTGTTTGTGAATCGATATCTTCTTCAACCAATTTTCTCACGAAAGTCCATTTGCACTGGCAGCTCTTTGTCGGTGGTGAACTTCTTTATTTTCGGGAATGTTAGGATTTCATGCCTGCAGCGACACAAATGAGTAGTGAGAATCAAACTGAATCCATAGCATGTAATGGGATCCATATTGGTAAAATCTGTCTCTCATATTTCTCGTTCTCATTCGACATCTGACATGCTGTTTTCTCACTGTTTGATTGCCATAAGCTCTTGAGTAGCAGATTCTATCTCAAAAGAGGCTTCAATAATTATAAACGGGTCGGCTATCTATTAAGCCTGTCTAGAAGTTCGAGAACAGCAGAACTTATCTGTTCAGTACCGATTGCGTTATTGCGTCCAAAATAACATAATTTAGAGAGTAACTTTGATTCTGATCAATTTTACAATATTTGCTGATTATTTTAAGAGTTATAGATGAATCATTTTGCAAACGCGAAGAAACTCTGTGATCCATTTGATTTTACTGTTAGTTACAGTCGTGGCAGTGCTTGGATGTGGCGTGATGCCTCAAGGACAATGTAAGAAAAAGAAAATTATTATACTAGTGAAAACGTTATTCCTAATATAAAGCTTACAGTCTTAGTCGATATCAGTAAATTTGACGCTTTATCATTAGCCATGAGCTATTCTCAAATAATAGTAGTAGCGAAAGGATTTCAAGTAAGCAAAATCAAAAGAAGAACGTAAAAACAAACGTCGGAAAATTGAATCTAACAGAATGATTTAGTTGATACTCTTTAGCAAAAACCTGTGAGATTTTGTTACAGCAAGGACTACAAGCTTTACTGTGAGTGGATTCACTTTACCAGTGTCCATGACTTACTCTGACACACCTAAGCCCCAAGTTTCTGGTATTGCAGTTAGTCGAAGAGCCGCTATCTCGTTTGTATCGCGGCTCATAATGCAAATGGTGAGTCAGCCAATCATAAGTTCGTGTTTTCTGTTTGCAATTTCATCAAGATTGCATAAGTGAGCTTACTTTTTCTAAATATTCAGTTTCACTATTACTAGATACATGATTTGATGTGATATGATTGTCAATGCCCCTACCTGGAACTCTGATAGCTAATGAGAAAATTTTCCTTCAGGTCACTGATGTTCTTATACAGCAAGGTCACAGCGCAGGGTTACCTGACGCTATTATCTCAGCTATTTTGGATCAGCTCATGCTTCGGATCAGTTACCTTCCTTTGGAATGCAAGAGTGTGACTACTCAAATACCAGGAGATGGAATGTGTAGGCTTACAGTTTTCAACATAAGTCGATTGTACCCACGTATAGGCTAGAACGCACTTAGAATGACTACATTGCCATTACTATCTATACGAAAACGATCTCAAGTTGGAAATAACAGGTGAACTAGAGGTTTACTGTGAGAGAGTGATTCTAGAACTATTTATTTTTTTGCAAAAAATATTCATGTGCATGCATGATTTTGATCGCAGAGGTGTCGCCAGAGTTGGCGTCCTCGTCAAATCGAATTTGACCGTGAACACTGATTCGTTCCATCAGCTAACAACCTGTATCGGACGATTACGGTTGAAACGATGTGCTCCTATGCCGGCTTTGACCATCTTCGCTGCTTACGTACCAGCATCAATCTATGACGAAGACGAAGTCGAAGCGTTCAATGTGGACCTTGAAATATTCTTCAGAGAACATCATACATTCATCAAGGTCATTGTCGGAGATTTCAAGGCAAAAAACTGGACCTAGAAGAACGTCCGAAGAACGTCACATAGGGACCCATGGACTAGAATGGAATTAACAGGGTGAGAGGCTTTCTGAGTTTATCATGACGGCCCAAACGTTTATGGTAACTCGCAATTCCAAAAGCCTCTTACTCAGCGATGGACGTGAGAGTGTCCTAATGGAGAGTGC